TTCCTTCACCACGTGTTTTGTGATCAGCACATAGTTGTTATTCAAGGGCTTTGAAAACCGCCAGCCCCCCTCCCCCTCCGTGGGAATCGCATGTTCCAGCTAGAGGTTGGGTGCCAGACAAAGTGCAAATGAAAGTTGCTGATGCTTTTATTTTTTTCTTGTTGAAGTTACAAAATTCAATTTTTTTGTTCAGCTTCACTGATTAATTGATTAAGAATATCATAGCTAACTTTGGCTTACTGATATTCTCATTTGCATTTTAGTGGCTCTGACAGAAAGATGAATGAGACACTATTTAAATGGATTGTTCTTATTGGTCCAACAGGAGTGCCAAATTCTCACTGAAATCTGAAAGCTTAAACCTAGACGTCATCCTTGTTTTCTTTGGTGGAAAAGATTACTTTTTCACTTTTGGATTTTATTTCATCAAAAGGTTGGACATCACATCGTTCTATTTTTGGATTAAATCATAGAAGAATTTCTGTCTTAGTAATATTTCTGCTTTTAAGTTTGACAGAAATCAGGGTAATTAGTAAGACAACAGTTATGTGTTAAGGCCCATTTCCTGACTTGTAGCTTCTCTTCTCTTATTTAAAAAGAAAAACTGGTTCTTAATCTCCCTCTTTTCAAGATATAAACCAGCTAAGACAAAAACAACCAGTTTAATGGTTTAATAATGGTTAATATTTGAGCTGAGCAAAGGACGAGGAAGTAGTGCAGGGTACTTGGGTGTTGTGTCTCTATTTCATGTGATTACTAACATGACACAACGCTGCTGAGCATCTAGGTTGTTGTGATGTCATTCTACCCACATGAAAACTGGTGGCGACATAAGATGCTCTTAATCATTTATGGCACTGTCACCACTTGTCTCAGCTGGAGCTACTGTCACATGGCTCAGAGTGCTCCGTTACATAAAGGCCTTGTCCCCAGCTGGCACAGTAAGTGGGGACATGATTGTCGGATATAAAAGAGAAAATAAATATGCCCTTCTTTTCATTTTTGTTTTTCTCATTGTTTCTACAGCTCACCTGCATAGAGTCTGTAACATAATCTGGACAGCAGTCTTCACAAGTACTATGGTTAACAGAAGTGAACGTTGAATTATGGGTGTTGTAAGTGAGGTTATAAAGATGTACTAATATATATACATATATATATATATATATATATATATATATATATATATATATATATATATATGTATACGTATATATATATATATATATATATATATATATATGTATATATATATGTATATGTATATATATATATATATATATATATGTATATATATATATATATATATATATATATATATATATATATATTTATTTATTTATTTATTTATATACAGGCCAAAAGTTTGGACACATCTTTTAAATCTATGTGGTGTCTTTATTTTCATTTCCCATTGGTAATGAAGGCATCAAAACTCTGAATGAACACATGTGGAGTTATGTACTTAACCACAAAAGATGAAATAACAGAAAACATGTTTTATATTCTATTTTCTTCTAAATAGATACTCATTTCTCTCATTATTGCTTTGTACGCTCTTGCCATTCTCTTGATGAGCTTCAAGAGGTAGTCACCTGAAATGGTTTTGCAACAGCCTTGAAGGAGTTCCCAGAGGTGTTTAGCACTTGTTGGCCCCATTTTAAAAGGTCATGGTTGTGAAAATAAAGAAAACACATTGATTGAGAAGGTGTGTCCAAACCTTTGTCCTGTACTGTATATATACAACAAAATTTAGAGAACATTCATGCAAATGTCACTATTTGCCAATTTGACACATGCAAAAGTACTCTCAGCAACAGTTTTATGGGAATCTAGATAAAATTTAGCATATTTGAACTTTTTGTCCTAATAGCTAACCTAAGTCATTTTTACAAAAATCTAGCAGTAATGTTTGCAAAATGTAGAAATGGAAATAGACCAATAAATATTCAGTAACTTACAACCTGGCTCTTGATATCAAGGTATTTGTCAAGTATTTTGATGACAATAGTAGCCATGATCAGTGAACAGCCAACATAAAGGTAATTCTACTAGCAAAATAAAGCATCTGTATTATGTAACCTAGACTTTTCTTTTTATCCTAAGCATTAAAGGTCTGAAACTTTTGTGACAGTATGTTCCCATGACACTGCCATTCATGCCTCTTTTTACAGTGTACTGAAAGGCTAAGAATTTATGACAGGACTGCAGGCTGGTGATAATTCATCTTTTGTCAAGGCCATAGTAATGGAGTCTAGATGGCCATGGGGGGTTTGGAAACTACTCTTCGTCAAACATCAAGGAGGGCCCAAAGGCATAAAATGGGCCATTTCCTGTCATGACCTAAGGTGTGAGGTTTGCGTCTTTTTGATATTTGAGAGCCCACTGACACCTTTTATGGTGAGATTGAATATCTTCTTGTGACATGTCACATCAAAAGCATTCCTCTTCAGCTCTTGCACTGTGGAGGGGCTCTGCATGTGGCCACCAGGAAGAGTTAATCCATCAGAATGAGCCTAGCTATCCATGCTGGGGATGAAATCTTTTATCCCTTTCTGTCTTCAGCCAACTTAGAGACAGGAAGTCCAGTTGGTCGTTAGCACTCAGCTCTGACGTTGCCATAGAGAAATACAAAACTGTGCAGTGGGGAGTAGCATTATGGTTGTTTTGAGTTTTCAGTCCCACATATTAGCTTTTAGTTGAGCAGTTGTTGGGTGATGCATGAAATAATCAAAGTTTCACCTAATGGTAGATTCTACTTCATAAATCTAGCCAAAATTATTTTGATTAGTGGGAATTCAGTTGTATTTGAATACTATAAAATCTAAAGAACATGCTAACTGGCATTCAGTAGTTCAAATAACTTTTTCTAAATAAGCTTTCCAAGTTTTCTGTTGATCTGGTTGCATGAGTTTGCAGTTACTTTGTGAGAGCAGTTCATTATCTCCATTAGTGTCGGAACCACAGAGGAAATACGGAGTGAAGTTGTTGAATACAGAAGATAAAAGCCACAGCTCTGACATATGAAAGAATGAACAAAAAAAAAGATACAAGCTTCTATCATCTATCAAACCCTGCTGTGTTCCCTCTCGGGTTCCAGTTGCGTTTCCAGTTGAATGGGTTCTTGTCAGAAATGCTAATGTTTTCATGGATGACATTCTTTTGGGATATTGTTGAGTGAAGCTCCTATTCATTCATGGAGGGGCAGATACACAAGCAAGCTGAGAGTGTGGGCTTCAGCTTCAGTATGAAAACACTGTGAGTCATGGTATTACTGCCTGGTTTGAACAACCAAAGGCCTTGTTTCTGTCACTAACACATGGAGCTAGTGTGCTATAAGTGGGTGGTTTTCACTCCATTCTGTTTCAAGGCTGGAATCATAAATGAGTTTAACCTTTTGAGCTTTAGCAATTTAGTCTAAAGATAATCAGTGACAGTAAAGTATGGGATTTACTAATCTGTTATCACTGGAGCAGATAAGCCAGTATTTCAAAGGGTTGCAACTGTTAACCAGTTGTAGAAACAGAAGTGTTAGTAAAAATGCAATGGACGTACTTTTATTATGGCCAAGTTATATGGAGAAAATGATGTAATTGCATAAGAATTGCAAGTACTGTGAATAATGTCTTTTTTCAATTATCTGACATTATGTCTTATTTACATTTGTTCACAATATAATCTCATTGTATTCACTGTTTGGAAGCCATTGCCAACACCTTCCATAGTTTTTTCACATTCCTTTCACCTTCTTACTAAGTTGAAAAGGGTTAAAGATGGGTTCCAGATGTGCTCAGTGGCTATTCTGAGATAATTTTATTACAGATTTGTTTTTAATATTTTCACATTTCCAATGACACAAGAGCCCACTAACAATGAGGGGAGTGTCCGCCCCTGGGGTTCAAATCCTGGTCGGGTCATATCAAAGTTTTTTTTTTAAAGTGGGACCCAATGCCTCCCTTCTTGACTCTCAGCTTTAAGCTGTTGGATTGGAGGGTTAAACCACCAAATAGTTCCTAAGCGCAGCTGTGTCTGCAGCTCACTGCTCCCGCTGAGGATGGGTCAAATGCGGAGAACTAATTTCACACTCACCAGTGTGTGACAACTAGTGGGACTTTAACTTCACTCATTCAAGAAAACTAAAAACCTTTGCAAACATTTTGAGACAGTTTGGAAACTCCCCTGCAAATTGCATTTGCTATTTGCTGTCAACAGTTCCAGCCTTGTGAGATTCTGGCTTTAGGCACATATAACGAGACACATTAATGTAATAATGATGCCTTTAAGGTGAAAGAAATAAAACAAACTGTGCTGGATCAGAAGAGAACATTAATGATGGAAGCAAGGTAAAAAAATCTTGTTTTTGAATGAAATCTCCAACTCCCCTGCAGAAATACTGCTCCACCTCATTCTTCCTTTTTTCCTTACTGCATGCTTGAATTGGTCGAGCTTCCAGTATAATGTCTCGTCCTGGTTATATAACAGTCAGGGGCCTAAATGGGAACAAAAGCACAGCAGAAACAACACAAGGTGCAACTCACCAGAAACAGGAGAAGACTGTGGATAAAACGGGCACAGAAATGAATTAAAGGACTAGAACGTTATTGGATGGAACAAACTTTGCTGGTGGCAGTTTTACTGACATAGATTAGGGTAAACATGCTTTGTGTTAGCACCCGAAAGCTCTTTTCACTGTTGCATAGCTCCCCGTGAATGTTTGCATATTAAGGCTTTTGCTACTTGAGAACCCCTTCATTTTGAATCCTTGGCAGCAAAAGTTTCCAAGCTTTATAGGATCCGTACAGAGTGAGTCATGTGATAAGTGGTGATGAGAAAAAAGTAGACATAGCTTTCTGGAGAAGCTTTTAAATGGGAACATTAGATTTTTATTAGTAGTAGGAAGTCTATTATGGATGGCATGTTTCCACATCACCTGCCAAGTTTTGTTGGAGTTTAGTGTTAATAAGCTTATTAACTCTTTTGTTTTCTTGTTCTATTTATAGGCAGATTCATCAAGAGAATGAAACCCGAGAAGAAGCAGAATGGCTGCAAACAATAAACAGCTGGAGTTATTCTTGCTTTGAGACATTTGCCAGTCAACTTTGGAAGGAAACTGTCTAAAGGGGTCTAAAAAACAAGTGCTTGTCATTTCTGTGGATCGTACCTGAGAGACTGTCACCATGCCTATTCTCAAGCAGCTGGTAAACAATGACCAGTCAAAACGGAGGTCTCGCACTGACCTGACTGTGGAGATGATCAGTGCCCCATTGGGGGACTTTCGTCACACAATGCACGTAGGCCGAGGGGGCGATGCATTTGGAGACACTTCGTTTCTTAGCACCCGATCGGGGGAACCTCCCAAGGAAAAGAAAGATTCACCAAGTCCCAAGCCAGGACTGCTGTCCCGCACCTTCAGAAGCAGCAGAAGCAGCAAGCGCTCTCAGTCAGTAAATCGAGGGGACAAGTATGTGAACACAATGGCATCAACTGCTGGCTCATCTCAGGTTGTGAAGACTGCCATATCCCTGCCTTACCTAAATGACGAGAGGTCCAACAGAAGCAGTCAGCTGCCAAAGAGCGTTTCCTCCAGTCCCATGAAGACACTGACAGAGATGGAAACCAAGCCGACAAATGGAGCTGCAGCAATGGCGACACTGGATGCGGAGCTTGAGGAGAAAAGTTTTGGTGAGCTTAAAGATTTGCCTTCGCCGATGCCTAAAGGAGGTGGGATGAAGCATGCAGAGTCTGTGATGTCATTCCACATTGATTTGGGTCCCTCGATGCTTGGGGACATCTTGAGCGTGATGGAGAAGAAAAGTTGGGAAGATGATGACCTTGGATATGAGGAAGGCAAAGGTAGCGAGGGCTATGCATCTCCCTCCCACATTCCCCACATTGATGATGATGATGCTGAGGAGCAGGCTCCTTCAAGGCCACCTCGCGCCACATACAAGCACAACGCCACAGTGGATCCATACACTCCAGAGCTAAACACCCGGAACAACCACCACCACCACAACAACATGGATAGCTGCTCGGTGTCCAGTTCAGGTTCTGAGAAACCTCAGTACCACATGCACGATGGTGACACGGACAGTGCAAAGTACAGTTCGCCTCGTGGGGATGATGATTTCACCTTCATGGATGAAGATGATGAGATCAGAGTGTAGATCGCCATCTCTCTACCACGAACAGGCTTGGATAAACAAGTTTTGGGGTCTTTCAGGTGGAGTTTACAGTCGGGGTTACATACTGTCAGTACACATTGATCAACACTATTAGGCCTTTTCTCTGTGCTGCTGTTGGGAGATAGAGACCCCATTTTTGTTTGATGGCAGACACTTTAGCTTAAAAAGGATCCCTTTCCATTTTTAGTTATACATTTTCTACAAATCTGATTATGTTTGAGCACTTTCTGAAGAGAAATCAGCCCAGAAAGTCTCTGGCTTTATAAATCAGTAAAAAGTGACAGAGGATGGATTGTGAGGATGAGGACAGTGGATGTGTTGTCAGATTCTGAGGAGAGTTGAGGTAAATGGAATGAAATGAAAGTGCAGGTTTGTAATCTTTGTGTGGGGCGTGATCGTGGAGCTAATGACAGAAGCTGCAGACAAACGCTGCAGCCATGTTTAGGTTTAATGTTCCATTATGATGTTTTATATTATTTGTACATAAAGTATCAGGAGGTAAATCTGCAGTAGCCTACTTTTTGGGAAGACTTGTATATTTAAAACTGACACAGCAGTGATATTTGTTGTCACAAGTATGTGAACTATTTTTGAGTCATGGATGGGTGGAACTAGAGAACGATCCATCAGCTTTTTTGTATAGACACACGACACTTATGTTTCACTGCTGGAGAGAAAAGGTGCATCTGGCTGGAGGGTAAGAAATCATAGAGGCTTTTGGGTAAAGTTGTACATTTTAGAACAAGGTCAAGTGATGATTGTGTTCAGATTTATATTATTAAGGAGGTTTGTAGCTACGGTAACACTTTTACTGTTAAACCCAAGAGATTCTGATTCTGTTAGCCCACATTTGTCTGTGAGTGCAGAAAGAAGGATGTAACAATATGTACAAGTGTTATTAAAGTGCAGGAACTTCATAAAAAGCTATTACACATGTCCCCAAGCACTAAAAATGGAATAAATTTGCTGAGCTGGCCCCCCAAGGTGATAAAATTGACCTCCTCTACTCAAGTCGGATCACATGGTAGGAACAGATGATTAAGTCAGCCAATGGCATGCCCTTTTCCAGTCTGTTCATTAAATGTGTTAGATTAGTTGCCCCCAACCAGCTGAAACTGCTCCAGGAACAGCAGGACCAGGTACAGGCAGGTGGGCGTTTTGTCTCCGGTTGTGTGTGTTTAGTGTGCTTCACACTACAGCCCAGCCATATATTAGAGAGGCGTACTTTCCTTTACCATATCCATGAGAGATGTCTGACCTTTTTCTTTTATTTGGTTAAGAAACTAATTGTCACATATGACAAATGGGAGCTTTGACTTTTCTGCTGCGACACAGTCATGTGTGTACATAGGACCTGGGGTCTGCACCATTCTGCCTTCAGTTTGTTTAGATTGTGGAACAAACGAAAGTAGAGTTGCTTCATAAGTGAAAGTTGTGCAAAGGAAAATTGCCAAGTACACTTGGTGACTGTTTTGAGGTTAACACTAAACCTAGTACTATCTTCTGATGATCTTGGTTTATCTACATCGTGTTGTATGAGCTGAGCTGATAAGGGAAAACACTTGTGCTGTTGGCAAACAGACACAAATACCAGGGTTTAATAGCATCATTTCTATGGTAACTTAGGTTTTTCTGCATATTTTATATTAACACATCAATGCACCAACACACACTGATATGCTCAAATGATTTATCATCCCAGTGAACAGTCTTACTGTTTGGACTTTTTGGTTGTTTTTTACTTTCACATTATTGTTTAGATATGCTTTATGAATTGTGTGTCTAACCTTTATTGTATCTGGGCCAAATTTTAAGATGTCTTATTAATAAAATGTGGAAATAGTGTGCTGTGTGGTTTATAGGGTAGGACATTGTCCTCATTTTTATCAAACAAATCAAGAATCAGCCCATTAACGCCACTATTTCGCTGAGCTGGGACTACTGGTGACACATTTGAATCAGCATTGGAAAAGGAATTTTGAGACTGTTGTGGAGGTAAAGTCTGTCATGTGAGTTGGAGGGTCTTGGACCTTCTCTAATGTGTAAGTCGTAGAATGGAGAATGATATGACCAAGCTGCAAATAAAAAATTAAAAGTGACAAAAGAAATGAGGACAAATTGCATAAAGGACAAATGTGCATGGGGTTTGAGCTTCCCACCCTTGAGGTCAAAGAACTTTCTCTTTTGTTGATGGAAATTTGAAATATCCTCCCCCCACCCAAAAAATATGCAGCAAATTGTATTCATTAAACCCTTCCCACAAGAGCTTCCTTGAGTTAACACTCATCTTACTTTAAAATAAATAATTTCTCTTATCAATAGTGTCAGAATTACCAACTTCCAAATGAGAAGGTATTTTCTTCCGCAGTGTGTACCAACTAGCCACAGCTGTGGTGACAAGGTGGCTTTAGAAAGAACGAGTGGTTAAAACAACCACTTATCTGCTGGTTTTCAGTCAAGTAATGTAATTAGTGCCATCGATGAGTCCAGAGAACAATCGTTATCAGCTGTGTGACGCTGGACATCTCCTGTGAGAGACAGGAATGTTTGTGGTCCAACTGCAGTTGCATATTTAACAGCTCACATCACCCTGGCTATTTAAACAGTTGGAGCCTGATTTTGGGTAATTAGAGGATTTTATACAAGTATATTAAATTGCACTGAAATTCCTCCTTGTAATTGTCTTAACTGTCTGGTATTTGTTGTGTTTCCTGTGGGAAACTCCCAACGTAAGCCAGAACAAACAACGTTAAAGAATTAGCATATACTGTCTGCCTGAGGGCTGCTTATATGCTTTAGCGCCATTCCTTGACAGCAGTGGTTTGGTAAGTGGTAAAAACACGAGATAGGGACTGTGAAAAACAACTGGCTCAAAGTTCAACCCTACAGGACTTTCTGTTTTCAGTGGCTGTAGCTTCATGCCAAGTGTGTGCTGTTCCATTCCTTTTCTGATTTCTGTTGTTGCTGTATTAAAATATTCACCTTCCTGACTTTCCTCTCTTTAAAGTAACAGCTATATTTTTTTCAATAAAAGAGAAAGCTGGTAATCTTTGACTCGGCCTTTGTTGTTTTGTGCTTATTCTCTTTGAGTTTTACCCTGCAGGCTGTCCAGTTTTCACACTTGATTTGAAATGTATTTGCATTTTTCCTTCTAAAATGGGTAGAGCGCTGATTGAAATCTGACCTTGAAGCAGCCTTAGAAATGTCTGCGGAGGGGGCTGCTGACAGAGTTCAGCCCTGACCACAGCTTCAAACAAAAACCTACCAGCGTGAAAGTGGAATATTATACACAAATAACCCGGGAATGGAAGGTAAAACCATGCCCAACAGATTTACTACTATGGGCAACATAAATCCTGTAAGCCGACTGAACCCTCCAGCAGTCTGTAGAACTCGGCTAATAAAACATAAAGCGCTCAGACAAACCATAATACAAATAATTTGCATGGTTTCTAAAAGTGATGCTTGTTTCTGGATCTTGTTTTGTGTTTTTAGTCCTGATCCAGATCTCCTGACCTCAGAGGAAGGCTCACTCACACGCTTTACCTTTTGGCTCAGCTCCTTTGCCACAGCTGACCAATAGAGCTTTGGTCTGTTTCTCTCTTCCATACCATCTTTCCATCATTTTTGAACAACTACTCTCCTCTACTTGAAACGCAGACTCACTCCCAACGCCTGAGGGAGTACCTGGTCAGGAATTGGCAGTTTGATTCCCTGATCTTAGAAACAATAGGTTGACTGGACTCAATCTTAGAGACAAGGTAAGGAGCTTCTTCCAGTCTACCGGTATCTCTGTTCCTCAACTTCTACAGTTTTCCTAGAGCGGATCCTTGCTGGAAGAATTGTATGTCCTTTCTGGCCTGGGAACATCCGAACCTGTTGGCTCTACAATCTGACCTTGGACAATCAGAAACAAATGGAATTATTAATCTGACATAATTATTTCTGCTTACACTTGTTGTGGGACAACTTCACATTGAAGGGTTTCAGATGAGAAACCCACTTTCTCCACACCATTATGCTGCCTGTACATTTAGCAGGATGTACATGTTCTGCATCAAGTCCATTTGCAAGGATGAGGAATCAGCTTAAAGGTAATATTTAACACAGAGAGAATTAAACTAAATAACAAAATACATTGTCTTCTGTTCTTTTTCTACTGTTTCTTCCTCAAGTATGAATCAATTTGCTGCTTATGAGGATTTAGATACAGGACTTGATAATACTCTTGATTCATGTTCAATATGTTCAGGTTTTACTGTCAAACAGCTCCTAGCTGTTTGTATTAACTTGGCTAGAATAGATTTATTCACAATATCTAGCTTGAAAGCAGTTGAATCCTTAAAGACTTCCATCAACCTCCTGAGACCTGAGCTTTTGTTTCATCGGCATTTTGAAGCTTATTCAGCTTTTTGGGATTAAAAGGAACTCATTGCAGCAAGTTGGCAAGAAGGTTGTGGGTTCAAATCCCAGCCTGGGGTCTTTCTGCATGGAGTTTGAATGGTCTCTCTGCAGGTACTCCAGCTTCCTCTCACGGTTCAAAAATATGACTTGGGTCAACTGGTCTCTAAAATGTCTAAGTGTGCATGGTTGTCCTGTGTGTCTGTGTTGCCCAGCAAAGGACTAGCATTCTGTCTAAGGTGTACCCCGCCTGTTTACCAAATCCTCTGTCAGGAATCTTATGTGACCTTTGACCCAGCACTCTCACCCTGGATTCTCATGTCAGTTCTCTTGTTTGCTCATCCTTCTATCTCAGGAACATTGCTGAGTCCTATTCTATCCTGCTCCCCCAGCAGGTCCCTGGGGTCCAGTGATCAAAGCCTACTGGTTGTGCAGCACCAGGCTAAAGACCAAAGGTGCTGCTGTGGCCCCGAGACTCTGGAACTCTCTCCCCCTTAGCCTGAAACCAGTGGACTCAGTGGACTCCTTTAAAAAGCAGCTGAAAACTCACCAGTTAAAGCTGGCTTTATGTGACCTTCATCACCACTCCCTCCATGTTCTGCTCTTTTTACCAATTCAACCTTTTCTGGTATCCACTGATTACCACGTTCTTATTCATTTTCCCTTTCTTTACATTTTTTCAATCACAATGTTCTCCCAATGTTGTGATATTTTAAATAATTTATAATTTATTTTATTTTAATCAGTTTATTTTATTATTTATTTATTTTGTTCTTGTAAAGCGCCTTATGATTTTTATCTTGAGGCTCTATATAAAAAGAGTGTTTCTTCTTCTTCCTTACTTTCAATTTTGGAATTTTGGAGTAAAACTAAAATGCTTTTACTGACCTTAAAGTTGACATGTTGAAATGATCTCAGTTTTTTTTTCATATTGCCAATTCATCTGCCTTCAGAGAAATCACAGAAGGTTTCCTAGAAATGTTGTGGTGGTGCTGGTTTACAGATGTTATACCACCGCCCTCTGGTGTCATTTTCACATAAATGCAACTTTGGACATTTTCTTCAAAACACTAAGATTTTAGGCTTTTCCTTTTTATAATATAAATTCTGTATTAATTTGCCTCTCATACAAAAGTTAAAAGGGAAAGTGATCACAAGGCTGCATTGTGAGGTCAGAGAAGCAGCAGGGACAGCATTTGTCTAATCTAGCTCTATCTACTGCGGAAATGGTCTGATGCATACTCAGCTGACCTTAAAGACCCCCCCCCCCCCCCCCCCCCCCCCGAGCCGTGGTACCTTTTTATTTTTTGAGAAATTGTACGTAGGGGAATTAAATAGTAGTACTACAATTTGGCTTACAGTGTTGTACTTTTACATAATTAAATGAAAACTGGGATTTTGTAACTAGTTAAATAAACCCAACGTTAGTGAGGGTGTTACTAATTTTAATGTTACTGTTCCAGGGTTGGAAGTCATTGAGTTACTGTCCATCTTTTCCCTTACAATGTACAACACACTGAAGGTGTATGTATGATTCAGGGGAGTTCTAACCTTGCAGTGATGCATCCACTGTGTTTGACTTGGTGTCTAGCGTGGCACAAATAGCCGAATAAGAACAAGAACTCGCTGGAGACAGAGTGGAACGGTGAGAAAAGGGTGCAGCTAAAACCTGTTCTGATACTTGGCTGGAGACAATTAAAACAGGCGTCAGGACAGCAAAACAAAACCCACATCGTTTACAGCTTTGTCAATAATTAATACGTATGCATGTCGTGACCTTTTGGGGGAGGGGGGGGGGGGGGTGCAGTGTGGGCAGGTGCCAAGTCCAGTTAGAAATGGAACCAGTGACACCATGAAGCTTGCCAGCAGATGGAGGTTCAGAAGTATCTTTGCTTCAACACACATGATTTTAATCAGTGGGGTCTTAACCAGTTGCTGCAGAGCTTAGCCCTGTCCCACAATCCATTGCTGCATGGGCATTTTGAGAAGAAGGAGGATAAGAGGGCTGCTTCAAATATATGTATTCTCAAAGTATTAAATATTTTATTACTCTCTCTCTCTCTCTCTCTCTCTCTCTCTCTCTCTCTCTATATATATATATATATATATATATATATATATATATATATATATAATCACTTGTTTTAATATACTTTTGTTTTAATATGTTTTCAAGCAGCAAATTAGCACAAACGGCAACCTTAAGTCACGGGGATACAGCAGAGGATGACTGTGGTCCTCACTCAATAATAAATCCTACAATAAAACCTGTATGAATGAATGAATGAATGTTCCTGTCACATCCTGGCTTGAGTTACCTTGGCTTTCTTGTTTACATATGCATTATAAACACGCATTAGTCAAATAAATAAGTAAATTAAAAACTATTCAACTGAAACACAGTTCTCATTTCAGTCCAGCAGATGGAGCTATTCAGATTGG